TGGACTACCAAGGACGATGGCAAACGAGGCGCAAATCGGTGTTTTTTTCGCCCATCGAGCGGATAGGAACACCGTCATGGTGGTTCACTAGCGATCACTTCCGACAGGTCTAGTGGGGTTCACGGACACTGTAGCCAGACCTGCTGAGCCACAGCACGTTGAGTGGTGGGTTCACCGTGCACGGCAAGCCACAGCCACAGCAAGTGCCGTAAGTACTCCGATTTGTTGATGCATTTGACCTACGTAATCCTCACACTGATGTCACTAAGAACAAGATTGTTTTGTGCTAGGATTGTGAAAACGTCTCACCTCCTTTGGTAGGTGCAACAAGCGTTGAGGCGACACACTTCCTTGTTCTGGATACTGTTCCGAAAGCTGTTCTGCCCATGTCGCCGGAAAGCACCCTTGACCTTGCGGCGCCCGTCGACAGGTGTGGCACGGCTGCTTGCAAAACGTGGTTCCCCACGTTGCAGCGCGTGTCCGCGCCCGTCGCGGAAGCCCCACAGGCAAGGCCAGCGTATCGCTAGACCGTCCTTCAGGTTATTCTATGCTTGGCGTAGACAGCGTTCCGGCCAGTCAAATGCGATGTGAAAAGCTTTGCGAAGCCGAGGTGACCAGAAACCAGGTCAAGGCGGGTGGAAATTTACTTTCAACTGCCGAACCGCTCGTCTAGACCGCAGTGTTGATGACCCTCGCCACCTGAAACTGACAGCTGCCGGATAGCAAGCCCGGATCGGTGCCTTACGAGGCTTTCGACGGGCGTCTCAAAAAAAAGTTGCCATGTTTCTGATGCACGGCAGGCAACGTCGTGGCATCCGCACGAGCGAGCACCAATCTCAGTGGTCTATAACATCTGTTGAGTATGTCGATCTGGCCGTGCACGCCAACAGGGAGACCCGCAAAATGCTTCTACTGCATATACGATTTGGGCCTGCAACTCGGAGTTTTGATCTTTTTATAACCTGTGCGTCGTTGCACATGTCGCGTGGAGCGGGCAACACCATATGTTACATGCGACATGTGCCGTCAAGTATCGATTCAATGCTGTCCTCTCTGGCTGCATAGTCGTGTGTTTCCGCCGCTGAGGAAAACTCGAATGACAGTGGTAAAAGATCTACGAGTCTGATCGCTCGTTGATCATCTATGATTGCGCGGCCCCCTGACGGGTCGGTAGCTTCCGTCAAAGGAAGGCAGCCGATGGGATTTCGAGAAAGGTGACTGGGATGACAGGATGAGTAGCGTGATGCGAAGCCGGTCATCTGCGAGAATGGGCCGAATGCGTCTTGGCGGACCCGAAGTTGAGTTCTGCAACCCGAGTTTGACATGAGATCGGCCCTCCGATAAGGCGCCGTTGGAGGTAGGCTAAAATTTCGCCGATGATCTTTCGCCTGGCGGTTTCGAACTACGACGATCAGCACATGTCAGTCCTAAGTAGGGATTTATGCAGAAAATCTTTCGAGCGCTTGGAGAAAGAGGAAGGCTTGTCGCTGGCGGGCAGATGGAGATGTGCGCGATTCGGAGTCGCGTTGGAGTAGAAGTGGCGACGTGACAACGCGTCCATTTCGCGGCAAAAACTCCAGGTCGGCGAAGAGAGCGAGAACAGCATCCATCGACAGGATGGCCATTTGAAGGATTCACCATGTCGCTCCTGCAATGTCCACAGTTCTCTTGGTGGTGGGGGATGATGTTGGAACAACGTCAAGTTCTTCGCACCTTCCATCCCGCCCTCGGACCACGATGCCGGTGTTGACGTCTACCAGTAAAGATAGGCACAATCCTTCTGCACCTTTCGCTCCTCTGTATCTTCGCTCGAGTGCTGCGTCTCAACAGCTGAGTAGTAATCAATTCTCTTGATACCAAGGCTCGATGTCGTGGCTCTGGGAGACGAGACATGTTCCACACCAGTGTCCGCTATCCGCCTTGTGTGAGGCTTATAGATTGCTGCATATCAAGAGGCGGCAACCTTAACTAAACCTCCAAGCAATGGTCAAGACAGACTTCCTGCTGTGGCGCTCTTCATGGTAGTAGCTTTTGGTCGATTCTGAACCACCTTATAGAAGACTAAGACCACAAGGCATCACATTGTCCTCTATTTAGCTACAGGTCATCGCGCACGTATTCACAATGGTACTTGAGAAACAAGTCCAGCAAATCGTCGACGGTTCTTTCTACGACATGCAGGTGCACACGACCAACTACCCCTCCTACGGGACTTAGCGCAAGGTACAGCCTCGGTACATAACCTGAGCATTGATGCAACTTCAGACAACGACGTCAGCGCCGAGGTCACCACAAGAGCAATAGTAATCCACGATTAATCAACCCTTCAGTTAGCAAAGATATCCATATATGAGCATTTTTGTTGCATGCATCGCTCTGTAACCATATAAGTCCTCAAAACCCCCATCAACACAACCATGGCATCTGCGCAACAAGACGTGCAACTGCACGACTTCTCCAACATCTTTAGCTTGAAAGGCAAAGTCGCAGTCGTGAGCGGCGGGTCGCGAGGCCTTGGTCTGCACGCAGCATCTGGGTATAAACTCTTTTCCGCCTGGTGTCACCTTCCTAATCCTCTCCAGTCTTCTCCAAGCCGGCTGCTCCAAGATATTCATCACCTCACGCAAAGCCGACGCCTGCGACGCTGCCGTTGCAGCCCTCAATGCGCTCCCCAACAAATCTCCTGGCGCCCAGGCCTACTCCATCCCTGCAGATAGCTCTAAGATATCTGAGATCGATCGTTTAGTGAAGGAAGTGAGCAAACATACTGATCACGTGGATATCCTCTTTGCGAATGCAGGAGCTACGTGGGGCAGTACGTTTGAAGAGACCGACGAGAAGAATGGTTGGGATAGAGTCATGGATTTGAATGTAAAGGGCGTCTTCTTTACCATTCAGAAGTGAGTTGTCCCCTTCCCTGTTCACCTCGATATATCGAGAAGACTTGAATTAGAGGATATGAAAGAGTTGACACAATTTAGATTCACACCCTTGCTCACAAAATCTGCAACAATGCAGGACCCCTCGCGCGTCATTGTAACAGGCAGCGTAGCAGGAATCGGTACTGGTTCCCTCGGCGAAACAGGCGCTTGGTCATACGCCGCTTCAAAGGCCGCAGTCCTCCATCTTGCACGTAACCTCGCTGTTGAACTAGGGCCCAGACATATTCTTGTGAATGGAATTGCTCCCGGGTTCTTCATGAGTAAGATGGCGGGCGTCTTGATGGAGAAAGCAGGTGGTGAGGACGCACTGGGAAAGAGTAATCCGAATGGGAGGACGGGAAGGCCAGAAGACATCGCTGCTGCGGTTGTGTATCTGAGTAGTAGGGCTGGTGGTCACGTCAACGGTGATACGATCGTGCTTGATGGTGGCAAGATTCATGGAAGTAACAAGCTGTAGAGGCTATAACAAGCACTAAGCCTCGCCTGAAGGAATACCCATTCCATGCATCCCTCGATATCCACTCTTCTCGGGCTTCTTCCATCCTTTCAACACCTTCTCCTTTACCGTCTCTTTGATTTCATACACCTCGACCCTGATGGGTCGGCATGTGCTCTTCATTCCTTCGTCGTCGTCTCCGTCTTTTTTCTCTTTGCTCCCGCTAACCTCTTCTGCCTGAGTCCAGCCCCAGCGACTCAGGTCTCCACCAGGACATGTGCTCAATGCGCACAATAAGTCCTGCTCGGCGAAGAATGTAAGAAAACTGTCTTTCGTTGCAGGGCTAGCTTCCATGAAGTAACGACCTTGGGAATCTAGTCCGGTAACTTGGAACACATTAAGCACATCGTGCACGTCAAATTCTGTGAGACCGTAGGGAAGAACAGAACGGACAAGGTTGCAGTGACAGTGGTAGTCGTAGGAAGCGCCTGTCAGCACGTTTCCAACTGCAGACATTGTTAGCAAGCTCACCATCACCGATTCGGGCCTATGCAAACAGAACTGGAGAATGTGCAGACGGAAACGCCACTACAACTGTGTTGAGAAAACATACCATAAGGATCACACCTCGTCCCCAGGAGATCATTACACCTTCCACCCCATTTCGTAACCCCACCCCTCTCATCCCTACTCGCTTCCCTTCCACTCCCATTCCCCTTCCCATCACTATCCCTAACCTCACATCCGTCTTCCACAAGCCCACAAAGTGGCCTCATAAACGGCAAACAACTCCACAGCCTATCACCCTGCACCACATGGCTTCCCTGTAGCTGCCTTGTCCTGCTGGCCCAGAACTTCTCCCGGGGATCATGCTGGTTCCAGACGTTCAGATCGCCTACTTGCGGGCCTTCTGGGGTCGAAAGGCGGAATAGGGCGCCCGCAGGTACGGTCCAGGCTTTTCCGCTGCGGGGTGGGACGACAAAATCTTGGGTTTTAGTCAAGTCATTGTCAGGGGACAGACTGCGAAGAGATGTGTAGAGGGCTGTTGGGGGATGAAGGGGGGAATCGACGGAGGTGGGGAAATAGGCTGGGGCTGGAGGGATGTTGGTGCGGTCGTTGGCTGCCATAGTGACGATGAGATGGATATGTTGGAGAGCGATTCGATGTATCGTGCAGGGGTTCACACGTGTATTGATATGGTGATGCGGATCGGAGTGGTAGATGTGGTTCGGTCCGCGATATGTCCCTCATCGGGGTATCTTTACGGAGTAGAACCAACAGGTATCCACTCCTACACATTCATGAGCCGGTGATAAGCGTAGTATCAGAAGGATAGGCCGATGTCGGATGTTTCTTTCCGTTGATTAGAATTGGATATTTGACTCGACAGCTCTATCGTCGAGAGTTCTCACCCAATTACCTGTATGAACATGTATGCTCATGTTCCGTCACATCCTATTAAGCTCTAGATTACATGACGGTGGTTGACTGTACACTTATTCCATTCAACCTATTTAGCACTTTTTGAACACCAATCTCCCAGCTTTTTTAAACCCAAATGCTATATGCGATGTTTATGAAAATAAAGCCTGAACAGTGAAACATAAGAAGACCTATGGAGCTTACACTCCCGCGCTCTTCACATCCGCTTGATCGCCATTAACGGCTGCTTCAAGCTTATCCACTATTGTGCTACCCTCTTTTCGGCTGGGACTTGATTCTGGGCTGGGGATCTCGAGCGTATTCGATCGCTTGGGGCGGAAGGGAATGGGTGTGGTAGGTCTCGATGAAAGGAACTGTGCTGTGTTAGACGAAGAGCTTTACAAGAAGAGTGAGTAGGACTTACTGAGGAAGCAGCACTCAGCATCGCGATGAGAGAAGCTTGAACCACATCCTGGTGAATACCGACACCCCAGACCTTTTGACTGCTTTGTGCAGCTGTGCAACCAATGTAAGTTGCAGCCTTTGCGTCTTTGCTTGTACCGATGGTGTGCTCGTTGTAGTCTACAACGTCAAGGTCGATGCCCAGACTCCTCAGTGCATCGGCCAGCGACGATAGCGCACCAGTACCCGATCCCTGGATCTTGTGTTCCTGGCCGTCAATTTCGATGACACCGTTGAAGATACGGCGCAGATTGCGGCTGCTGGCTGTTCGGCCGTCTTGTGGAGGCAAAGGTGTCTCTGAACGATCGGCCTTGATCTCGTAGTCGACCAGAGAGAAGCGGGGGTTGCGCTTGAGGTGGTAGGCCTCTTCGAAGAGGTTCGTGATCTCGGTAGGCAGGAGTTCGCGGCCGAGCATGTCTGTCTCCTTTTGTACGACCTTGGAGAAGGCAATTTGGAGACCACGGGGAAGGTCGAGTTCCAGCTGGCGTTGAATGATCCAGGCAATTCCGCCCTTTCCACTCTGCGAGTTGACACGGATGATAGCTTCGTATGTGCGGCCAATATCTTGCGGGTCCAGGGGCAGGTATGGGATCTGCCACCGGCTCTCGTTGGTCGCGCCGTTCTTCTTGCGCATCTGGAAGCCCTTCTTGATCGCATCTTGATGTGAGCCACTGAAGGCGCACACGACAAGCTGACCTCCGTATGGTGCGCGGGGATGTATCGGAATCTTGTTGCAGCTCTCAACCATATCGATAATTGACTTCAGATCCGAGAAATCAATCTTTGGATGTATGCCCTGGGTGTACAGGTTCAGGCCCAGCGTAACGAGATCGACGTTTCCGGTGCGCTCTCCATTGCCAAACAGTGTGCCTTCTACTCGGTCTGCGCCCGCCATTTGTGCCAGTTCTGCTGCTGCAACCGCGCATCCTCGGTCGTTATGTGGGTGCAGAGAGACGCAAATCTTCTCCCTCTCGGAAATGTTCTTGCAGAAGTACTCGATCTGGTCGGCGTAGACGTTGGGCGTCGACATCTCTACGGTGGCTGGGAGGTTGAAGATGAGTGGGTTCTCTACACTTGGTTCCCATGCCGCCTTGACAGCCTCGCAGACCTTGATGACGAACTCTGGGGATGAATCTGAGAAGGTCTCTGGTGAGAACTCATATGCCCATTCTGTACCGGCTTGCTCGGGATCATCCTTGGTTATTGATCGCGCGTACTTTGTGCATTCGACCGCCAGGGCAATTGTCTCATCGTCGTTCATCTTGAAGACAATCTGCTGGAAACACGGACTGGTCGCAAGGTACAGGTGGAGGATGGCCTTGCGCGCGCCCTTGAGGGAGTCGACGGTGCGGCGAATGAGCTCTTTGCGGCATGGCGAGAGGACCTGGATCCATACATCGTCTGGTACTATGCCGGGCGTCTGGATGAGGCGTTGTGTGAAGTCGAAGTCAGTTTGCGACGCAGACGGGAATGAGACTTCAATTTCCTTGTAGCCGAGCTTAACCAGCATGTTGAAGTAGTCCCATTTTTGCGCGCCATCCTGAGGTCCGTGTCAATTCCGCGTACTCAAGCGACTACATTGATAGGGTCGTACTTACCATAGGATCTACTAAACTCTGGTTACCATCTCTCAGGTCGGTTGACAGCCATCGTGGTGGCTTTTCAATTGTCTTGCTAGGCCATGTCCTGTCCGGCAGGTTCAACGGCTTGAAAGGTTGGTATTTCTTCCATGGCTCCTTGAGCATCGGCATCTTGTTGGAGATTAGATCAGCGAGTTGCTTGAGGCTCTACTCTGGACAATTGACTATCGTTCTTTGTCTCCAAAAAGATGAAGAGTCAAAAGGATATCTTGCGTGTGTTCACGGCGAGTCAACACTTTCTGAGTATTGGAAAGACGTAGGAGAAGAGCGCGCAGGCCGGGTATTAGTACAGCGAGAGGTATGATTCACCGTATGATTCACAACAAAAGAAAACTTCGGTCGGTGATACTAAGCCTCTAAGCCGGCCACTGGGACTGGCATATGACGATGCGGGGCGCAGAAATTCGCCTGCACGCGCCCTGTGCATTCAATTGCGGGGTCCGATTTCGGGCTGCCTGAACTATTGCAAGCCGACAAATCAACACAGCTGGATTAATTGTTTACGAAGCGTTCGAGGCTCAACACGAAGACACGAAGCATGATGACCGAGGTGCGCATAGAAGTGGTGAATGTTTACAACCGCAAACCTGTTGTTTGTAGGAATTCCTTTTCAGCCTGTGAGTGTGACAGACTGCGGGTATTCCAGGTACATACCCATGGAGAAACGCACACTAATGCAATGGAGCGGATTGCCCGCGACAAGTAGATTTCCATTGACGTACACCACACCAGTTTGTGCTCACCGTTAACACCGTTCACTCAACCGGGAGCCAGCCGATTTGTGGCTAGCCAAGCGCTTCCAGCTCAGCTAGAAGATAGGGACCCTTAGACCGCAGCACTCGACCTCACTACCCTTGACCCCAATAGTGCGCCCAAAGTACAGACTACTAAACTCTTGTACAAAAGCGCGGTCAGCCTCTGACCATGTGTCTAGTCCCATGCGCGACAGGTCGTCTCTATCGACGACCACTGCATCGCTATCATTATCATCCTCTTCCCTCTCGCCCTGGGTATCCTCCTCGATAATCTGCGATAGCGACCGTATGAGTAATGAAGATTGGCGGTGAAAGTAAGCGATGATTGCTGTCTCCAACGACTGCGAGTACGCCGAGAGGTCACCAATCAGCTCACGATCTGTCTCTCGCTCCGCGGTCGTGTATGCATCTCTCTCGCCAGCCGAAGCCCACCACATGTAGCCCATGTATGCGAGCCTTGACCATGTTGTTGGCTCTACCACCGTGTCGTCGTATGCTTCGCTGAAGTCGTCGTCGGCACGCTTGGTATCGACCTCATCTCGGGACAGTAGGGGCGCCGCATCATCGTTCTCTTCGTCGGTATATGGCTCGGGTGACGTTTCCGATCTGTTACGCTGTTTGAAGAGCTCTTTGTGTAGTAGCTTGTAGCGCGCAACGTCCCGCTGGCTGGCCTTGATCAAGCTGCCATCGCTGGTCCGTATCCGTGGCCAGCGTCGCTCTTGTGGCGGCGCGTCATATGCGGGTGGCAGTTCGACAACGATGTCGTACAGTTGTGTCTTTGTGACGATGATCTCATCAGTCGTGCACGCGACCCAGCCCTCTGAAGGCTCAAGGTCAGGTGTGTGTCCGCCGTCTTTGGGGTTGCGAAGACGTTCGAGAAGAGGAATGTCGTGTACGCCGACTGAGAAAAGGGAGGGTAGACGCAGGAGGTTTTCGGTCCCTGGCGCTAACCGTTCGGTGTCGCGGGGCGATATGCTAGAGAGGACAGAGAGGTTATAGACTGGCCCGTTAGCTGAGAGAAGCCCAGGTATGATATCCAAGACGTACCAAACTCGCAAGCAGTCCTGACCGGCGGGATGCCCACAAAGAGAATGCGTTTCCTCAGCAAAGCCGCCTGTTGCAGCCGGAAGACCAATGGCCCGAATATGTCCAGGAAGCGCTGGATCGACAGAGCTGGGTGGTAGTCTGGGAGGCTCTCCTCGTCTTTCATGACGGCACTCACGGTCGAGATTGCGCGCGCTCTGCTGTGACCCTTGGACTCGCCTTCGTCGGAGACATCCCCTTTGCCGTGTCTTGAGACCTGTTCCTGCCAGAATTCTTCCAACGGCGTTACAGCTTCCGGGTCGTCCGCTAGGGTCGCAGCCAGTCTCTCCAAGCGACCAGCAAGCAGCCAACTCCTTCCCAGCCTGCCAAATTTGCCCTCTTTCTGTACTAGTATTCCAACAGAAACGAAGGTGGCATTGCGATCCTCTGCGCTGGCGTCGCCCTTTGCGAACGCGCTGAGTCCAGCATATCCATCATGCGTAAAGTAGACGAGGTCATTTTGCACCGAGTGTAAACCCGAGGGCAGCGATTTGTATTCAACTGAGTTGTCTAAGGTGATGTCCGGTGTCGTTGCGCGTTTCCAAGCAATGGTGTAGCTGTAGCTGGTCAGCGCCTAGCTCCGCGATGGTACTCTACCTGTCCAGTGTCGCATGACGTACCCAACTTTCTTGTCGAATTTGATGAGGAACAACGCTTCAACCCGAGGCGCATCCTCATTGTGAGAGTCTACATTAGTTGTGCTCGACTCAGTCGAGGCCGACATGGTGGTTGAGGGTTGGTGGAAGGCTAACAGCTGCTGAGCAGGCGGCCGTTGGTGATGCAACAGTCGCTAGGAACGCGTCGCTTAGCCTCGTCCGTCATCCCTGAGGTCTCCAGAACTTCTCCCAACACTTCCTACGCCATCCCAATTTCGAGAACCCAGAACCTTGTCAGTGCTTGATGGTACATTGCGCATTAGATGACGGAATCTCACGATGCAGAACCGCAGTGGGGTTGAGATATTGCGGTTCTGCCGGCGGTCGCACGCTTGCAAATTTACACGGGAAGAGTCGGACACGCTGACAATGGTCTCCTAGTTCCTCCATGTCAGAAATAGTTCATATCGTGAATTGAACCGTCGCATTTACGAAATAGCGTTACAGGTTACTACATTGCTGCTCTGAAGCCTACCCGACTGCTCTCGATCAACAAGTCGGATGCGCATTCCGGAATTTGTAGCCTGTTACAAGAGCGACTATGTGAAAAGCCTGGCCTAGGACAGCACAGATATGATGTATCTGGTGAGAGTGGCCCCATATATCGAATGAGCCGGGGCTGAGTCGCTCTGGTAGTCTTCCAACGAAGCAAGAAACTCCAAACAATAAGACCAATCCTTCAGTAAGATACCACTGAGCGCCGATTTCTTCACATGCACGACTCCATCCAAGTTTGCCAATGCCGTGGAAAATTGGAAGCATGGCTGTGATCGCAAGCACACTAAAAGTACCACCACGAAGCGTCCTCATCTTGTTTCCACCACCGCCAGTATCGAACAGTACAACAGCAGCAGCGACAGCAGCGCCTCCATTGAGGCACCAGTATACGCGTTGGGCTATGGGATCACAGCGAGCAGCATAATAAGTGGCCGATGACCCCCCACCCAGAGCGAGGAGACATATGCCGAAGATGTCGAAACGGCCCCAGCGATGGTGAATGCTGTAAGAATGACTCCGTAGTGTGTGAAACGTCGTACTGAGCCCGAAGCACAGAGCTGCCGCGCTTAAGGAGATGCCAAAGGCAAACTTGTCGCCAGTGGTGAGATTGAGTCTGCTCGAGATAGCAGATCTGTGCAAGGTGATGCCAGCCCCAACAAATGCAGCACTGCCCAGAAGATGAGTCCAGATGTTCATCGTTTCCATATGAAGGCAACGCCAGAGACGAAAGGATCTCTTGTATGAATGAGTTGGCATGGGATGTCCGCTGATGATGAAGTCATTATCTTGGAGCCATCCTGGGATATCGTCTTTTGTTCCTATCATAGGCCAATACGGTTCGGCATCTTTCTTGTTGTGTAGTATTGGGGAGTCGCTGGAACCCGACGATGTGGAAGCTGGTGAGAGTATTGCATCCTTGACCATGTTAACAGCTTCAATGTGTTGCGATTCCAGAGTTGGAGTTGGAGTTCGGGCAGTCATGGCATTATGAAGGGGACATGCGTCTTGGACGTGGTGTCAGCTACAGGCAACAATCGTGCGATGAGAACATGTGGGGTCGAAAACTTAACTCGCTTGGGCCTGATGTGTTTCGGTAACCTTCGCGCCTGCCAACCGGCGCTATATGATGCGTGTTCGTTGGCTCGGTTAAGCTTCAGTTCATCTCCGTGTCGTATCATCGCGCCACGGTTATCGCTGTGAAGCGCATTTGGTATCACATGGGAGTACGAGTACAAGTTTGTTCTACCCAGGCAATGCACTTTGCCTTCCTTCGCTCGGAAAACTGGAAGAAAAGCGACAGTGACAGGGTACGCTTCAGCGACCTGATCCGCATTCTTCATATCTGAGACACGTGGTGATGGTGACCGAGCTGTAAAGGATGTCACCGCCCCTAAGGGAAGCGCTGCAGCCACAAGCCCCCTGCATGTACCCTTTTTTGTTATGATCATATTGACCACATACATGTACTAGCATGTACCGTCTAGGAGAGCTGATTCAGTCTACATCAATCATGACCAACAACGCTGTAACTATCGTACACTCGACTGTATCAGGGTGGGTGTCTACCCCAGACAGTAGAGGTACGATGGATATCATCTGGTCCTCTTTTCTGACCATCTTTCTCTGTACATGGACAGCTGTCTGTCTCAACATTCCTCATCCAAACGACTCAAAGCGCGACATCTTCATCCGCAAAGCGAAATGGATGTTCTGGGCCATAGTCGGGCCTGAAATCGTCCTTGCCGTCGCTATCGGACAGTACGCATCCGCTCGACGATCGAAGAAACGATTCCATCGCCTCGGTTGCAAAAATTGGACGATTCGACATGGCTTCTTTGCGGACATGGGAGGTATTCTGCTTCAGCCAAAGGAGAGCTCTCCGTTCGTTGTCAATGGTCGGCAGTTAGCATACCTTGTTGAGAAGGAGTACATTAAGTGCCCTGATATAACGGCTGAAGAGATATGGGACAAGTCCAAAGCCGATACTTTGGCGAAGCTCATCACTTTGGTCCAGGCTAGCTGGTTGGTGATTCAGCTGTTGGGTCGGGCAGCACTGCGTCTCTCTACTACGACCTTAGAGTTATCAGCTGGAGCTATCGTGTTCTGCACGTTCGGAACTTTCTTCTGTTGGCTGCACAAGCCAGCTGATGTACAGAGAGGCATTGTGGTTACCACGGATGTTACAACTGCCCAAATCCTGATTGACGCTGGTCCCGTTGCTGCAGCACCATATCGACATACTCCTCTCGACTTCGTTGCGAGAGAGTCTTTCACTTGCAGCTACGACGTTATGGGCTTTGTCAATCGTCGTTGGGATCATCCGGAGCGGCCACTGAGAAAGTTCCCGAACGATCGTTTTCCCGACATCTGCACATTCGAGAAATTTGCGCTATTTTGCTTGACCTCAGCGTACGCTGCTTCACACATGATCGCGTGGAATTTCTCGTTTCCGACACAAACAGAGCTTCTGCTGTGGCGTATATCTAGTTCGCTGTTTACAGGAGTCACTGTATTTTTCTGGATTTTCGAGACGTGTGCGGCTCGACAGCGATTTGGACGCTGGGACAAATACCTTATCTGGCTTCGACTGAAGAAGAACCCAGATGCGTTACAGGCAGACGAAGAAACCGTCAAAGTTCCCACGCGCCAGGATACGATCAATCGTCTGGACGCTTTCGAACAAGAGCAACGCAAAGCTAAGCTCATATTGATGTGGGAACTCGCGCTTCTTGCTCCTGTTGTGCTTCTGTACTCCGCCGCGAGAGGTTACATGATAGTGGAAGTCTTCGTGAGTCTTAGAGAAGTACCAGTTGGAGTGTACAAAACGTTTGAGGTAGCAGAACTGATCCCTCATTGGTAATGAAGACCTTTGCATAAAAACCTGTTCAAGTCTTAGAGTAGTACGGTATAATCTTTCATGCATAATGAGGGTGATGAATTTTGATACAGTTCAGATATTCGTATGATACCGGCCCTTCAGTGGTGAGACTGCAGTCGAGCTATCATGCTGTGGCGGCTGTCGTGAGTGGTTGAACCTTGGGTAATTATCGTATTTATGACAGACGTACTTACACGCATGGCCAATTTCGGATCGCTTCTTGCTTGTGATGCGCATAGATCTTGGTACGAAAAGTCATTAGCACAAAAATAAGGTACGGGTATCAGAATAGGATAGCATTTGCAAACCTTCGTAAGGGTTGTTTTGTTGCGTGCAGCAGCGCTCGACCATAACCCCACACCAGCCTAGGCGCGACTTCGGCCGTTCTTCTAGCAGGAGGCACCACCCTGTAGAGAGCATGCCTGTTGAACGCATCCTTCGATGTAGCCGTAATCCGAACAGCTCCACACAGGGTCTGTGGTTGACGCGAATGATGATGCTGGGATAGTAGATGACTGACGTCATGTGGCTGGCGCGCTAGCTCCTGGCAGCCACAGGTCTGAGTTGTGCGTGCCTCACTTGTCACGCACCCTCACGAGCCTTGCGTTGCCACACCCGTCCATATTACTATGACTGGTCTATCCGCGCATAGTCATTATGTCTGAGTAGATCGTTGCCCAAGCTTTCGCGCTAGTTGTCTATTCGAGGCGTCGTAATGTCCTCCTATCGGGACTTAGCGCCACGTCTACAAGATGTGCCTGCCGTCGCGCCTGGCAACAGTAGAGCGGGATCTGTTAACAGGACCCCCTCGAGAGTGGCGGCAGCTTGCACCACATGCCGCGCGCGGAGAACCAAGGTCTTTCACCCAATTTGTTACTAAGGCTGACAAGGTTTCTCTAGAACGGAAGCTAATCTCAAACAGTGTGACGGCGAGAGACCAGCCTGTCGTTCCTGCGTCGAGCGAGAGACGACATGTGGATATGATCCACCTACTGGCACATTGCTCGCTCAGGCGCAGAAGAGAAAGATCGAAGAACTAGAGACCGACAGGAGCTCGTTATATGAAGTCCTATGGTGTCTACAGACAGCCTCTCCGTCCAAAGCTACGGCATTGTTGCGACACATGCGAGCTGCTCAGGGTGAAGATCTTGGCGTTATCTTCAGAAACTTCGAAATGAATCGTCCTAGTTCTTCCATGCCTGCAGCAGCTCCTGAAACCGATGCCAGCAAGGGCTATGCATCATCGGTAATAAACGATTCTTCCTCTTCGGCAATGCTCTCTATGCCAGAGGTGATGGACCACCCCAACTTCTCTGTTGCTCAAAAAAAGCAGTTTAACATGACGGCCGTTACTCTGATTGCTCCGAATCAGCAAGATGCATCCGTCGACAAGATCGACGGTCCACTCGATATGTTTTTCGGCTGTGTGGGTGCGCTTTTCTACATCATGAACCAGGATGACGTTCAGATAAGCATTGCAGCAATGAAGGCTTCAGGTAATGGCCACATACCACTTGGAGACGTGCTCACCAACGGGAGTAATATAAAACTGCGCACATACGCCGCAGAGCTTGCGGGCATGGCAGCCATCGGCGTCGTTCATTCCCAACTCGCTGATCCCGAAACGGCGCCGTCACCTGAACTTGCCGACTACTTCTATGCGGTCGCAAAGCATGGACTAGACTCTGCCATATCGTTCAGTCCGCTTCGAGCAATGAAAATATGTTCATTACTTGGAATGTACAATATCGTGGTCAAAGCCACAGTCGCTCTAGCTTATATTGGTATGATTCTACACCTGAACATTTCCATCGGAAATGTCACGACTTACGGTTTTCCAGAACTTGGACTAAGTCTACCTCGTAATCAGAAGATTAGTCTTAAAACTTGCCCGCCAGGCTGGTCTCCTAGTTACTACGAAGATATTCGCCGCACATATAGGACTCTTGTTCACTTACAATGGTGAGTACTGGTCTCGAATCAGGTACAATCTTTTACGATATTGATCCTTGCATCAGCTGGCTAAGCGCATCACTTGACCATGATTCAGATCCGGTGATTCAGGATATCACCTCACCTCAAGACGAATTGGACGTCCCACCAGAAGACATGATCCGTCGTGAATGCGTCAAAGTGTCCATCATCAAGGCAAGCTTGCTCCGTCGCCTACCAACAAAAGCCCCTGTGCTTGAAGGTACCATACTTGGTTACCGTGTACGATTGTCGAGATTTCATGCGCGTCTTCCAGATTGGATGTCAATTGCTTCCTTGTTAGGGGGCGAAAACACTGAACTCATGGCCACATTCCGTCCCGTCATTTACTACGTCCATCTGTTCTACCTGTCAGCCATGATGCTGCTTTCAAGGCGGCTAATTATAGCATATATCCCGCTAGATGCGGTCGGGAGCGTGACTCTCCCATCGGAAGCACGACGAGCCATCGAAGAAGGTTACCAGGCCGCGGAAACGAACGCTTCCGTTATGGATCTGATGTTACAGGAAGGCAAAGTAGTACAAGTATGCTGGCTGTGCATGTACGTCAAACATATACTATGAGCTGGAAAGATGCTAACAATACATCTTAGTTATACCTCTTATACGGCGGGTATCATGGTCGCTCACAAAGCTTCGCAAAATGCACTGCACAATGAGCCATTTGCCAAGGGCATGGTTCTGCTGAGCAAATGTATCGGCGTTCTCGGATACTGTGCGATCAAGGATGCACTTGCTGGAAAGTTTCACGACATCCTTACTAGGCATATGAGTATGCTTCGACACTACGAATCTACTCTAGCTGGAAGCGGGAATTTTGCTACTCCTTCGTCTTCTTCATCGAACAATAGCCTCTTCATCATTCAGCGCGGCTCGTCGAATCTCCATATCGCAGCTCTTGACTTGCTTCGGACCATACACCACCCGTTCGGTGGTCTAAGAGATGTCACAGCACAGAACACGCTCTCGAATCGCGCCGAGACAACCATGGGGACACATCTCGAGTGGGAGTACGAGCTTGAAAGTCGAGATCTTGCGCAGGCACAGCCGAAGGATAGTCAGCTGGCGGATGCCGTTGACGCTAAGATCGAGCCAATGACTCCTCTTTGTTCGTCATCGGAGCAGGATGCCCCTATGCAGAAGCTATTGGCTCAACCTCAGGGCGAGGCTTGGACGAAATGGACCCCCGCAACATGGCAAAGTTCGTTCCACATGCCTCAAAAGTAGACTGATGAATGCATCGACGTTCCTACAAACGAAACTACTTCTTTGATACAAGCACCAGCTGCGTTCTCCAGCTTCGGGGTACTGCGTCGAGAATTGTGTGCACGTTAACGCCCGCAATTTTCCCACTGTCCGACAGAGCTATACACTACAAGAGCTAGCAAAGCTCTACTAGCTGTAATATTGAGCAAGATGTATACCCATACGATACCAGAGTCCCTGCAGTGCGTACCACAACTCCATATTGATCGTCGTTCATGAGAGAGCATCTAGGTTCAGCGCCGATGACTCAACAAATCTGTGACTTCAATCGTAGATTCTCATATCCTGCTGCTTGGGGTACCATGGCAGCACAATCAAACATCCCATCGTGGAACCCATTGGCCATCGAAACCCTGGATGAACATGCTAAGGGATATATATACACCCCGTCCACCCCGACTAGCCTGACAAGTAGGCAGTTGGCATAGCGAAACCAATATAATTCATGATTCTAAGTCCAAAGACAGCGCTTGGTATCCGAGCTCAATCTGATGTCCTTGTAACACTAGCCAAGGTGCAAAAGATAGCGAACTGAACGAGGGTGATAAACCAATTATGCACCACATCTTACGTCATAACCCCGCTTTCGACTAGCAGCCATTGTGTGCCTCTGAATTGCGTTGCGAGACCATTACATTCGCGACTCTTTGAAGTTGTCATTTTCACTTCCCATCATGACGCATCCTGCACCCAGTCACGTTGCGACGAAGGATCTTTTCAAGCTAGATGAACGGACTATCATAAGTTTGGCTCACTGACCAGGAAACCCCCTAAATCTAACACGAACTTCAGTTTCGGGGGGCGCCGGTGCAGTAGGCACCGTCGTTGGTAAAGCGATCCTGGAGAGTGGCGGAGACGTCGTCTTCGTCGATGTCTCGAACCCTAATCCCAAAGCCTGGAGTACGCTAGCAACAGCAAGACCATCAAGTCTGTGATAACCATTTCTAGGCTCGCTTCAGGAATATGCCAAAGCCAACAACAATTCCGCAACTTTCCAAACCCTTGATGTCCAGGATGAAGCCAGCATCACGTCAGCCTTCACCACCATCCGTACCTCCCTCCGTCACCCGATCCGTGGCCTTGTCTCGTGCGCAGCGATCTCTGGAGAGAGCGATGCATGTGACTACCCCATTACGACATTCCGGAAGATCCTCGACATCAACATTTCCGGAACCTTCCTCATCGCCCGTGCTGTAGCAAATGAACTCCACTCCACTAATCTACCAGGAAGCATCGTCCTCTTTGCCTCAATTTCCGGTCACATATCTAACCACGGAATCAACACTGCCGCATACAACGCCTCAAAAGCGGCCGTACACCAACTCGCTCGTTCGCTCGCGGCGGAATGGGGACATCCGCAGAATACCTTCCCAGGAAGTAAGAACTATTCTGTAGACGAACTGCATGTGAGACGTGCACTGATTTTGTACACGTACTTTTTTAGGCACAGTCACAGAAACGAACCCGACCCCAAGCCAAGAGCCTCGGAAAATTTCCCCGCCGATTCGTGTTAACACTATTAGTCCCGGACATATCGATACGCCCCTCAGCGCGGAGGCGCGGAAGAGGGGGCTGACAGAGGAGTGGGCTAAGCAGAATATGTTAGGGAGGATTAGCGTGCCCGAGGAGTTTCGGGCGCCCGTGCTGTTTTTGTTGAGCGAGGGGAGCAGTTACGTTACTGGTTCTGTGAGTCGATTCTGACACTCTGATCGAGAAAGGGACCCTGGAACTAATAAGAGCCTTCTAGGATTTGAGGGTCGATGGTGGACACTGCGCATGGTAGAAAGTGACTAGGAAGATATGCTGTTTCATTCATTCAGAGATCAAAGGTATGTATGTACAAGAAGAACTCTAAAAAGAACCGGGAAAAAATGTAGACCGGTTACTTTCCTACCACCAACGCCTCGCTTTCTCGTAGCTTTCTATACAAAAACAATGCGATTTCATCAACTACCGAATTCTCGCTCCTAGCCATGCGTGAAGAATAACAACCACAGGTCGTTTACTCGTTGATCCTGTGTTGCCAGACCTCTTGCTCCGCCCTCGCAGAGTAGGTGCTAGCACCAAGAATAGCCCTCATCTGGTCGACACCAGTGAAGAGAATCTGTCTGGCGACGAACCAGCGGATACCCTCCGTGCAAGGCGGGCTGGTCAAGCTACCCTGGTAGGTCCAGAACTCGTTGAAGTAGAGAACGCTCTCGAGCAGAGGTCCAAAGTCCATAGTACACGGCTGCTCAATACCCATTTCCGTGTAGCCGATCATGGGAGGCAGTTGCTCGAAGAAGGTCGAGTTGTAGTTACCGGGATCGAGACGAATGGCCATGACGGCCTTTTCGTGGCCAGTGGCGTCCACGTGGACGAGATGGAGCTCGGCTTTGCTGCGATCACCACCAACGGAATGATCTGCTGGGGCGTGAATGTGCCAGCCCTTGAGGTAGACGGTCTCGTTGTCGTAGGTGAAGCTTGGGTGCGTTGTCCAATCAATTTCTCCCTCTACTACGGCCTCCTCATGTGCGACAGTGAATGCGGGTCCGTAGCCCCAGTTGTAGAAGTTACCGGCGATGCTGCCGTTGTACTTGAACTTGGGTACATGGTTTAGGGCTAGTCCGTTACCGAGCGAGAGGGCGATGGGAGACTGCTGGGTTCCGGTTTGGCAGAGATGGTAGTCGGGGTGGATCCTTCCCCAGTTGAAGGATGCTTCGTAGGCCCAGTCGTTATCCGTTACATTGCCCGGAGTGACTTGTTGCTGTCTTGTGGTGAGATGTACATGGCGTTTGGCGTTGGTGTGTTGAGGGCAGCTAAGCGCCGCGGGCGCCAGTGTGGCGGCGGCAAGAAAGATAGATTGGAATAGCATGGTGACAGTGCGGATATTTGTGTGATAGGAGAGTGCAAAGAGCCGGTTGGATGACTGGTTAGGATGCTGTGATATCGAACTTTCTTGTTGCTTGAGGACATCTTATATATAATGTAGAGAAGCCACAAAATGAGCGTCCGCCTTCACAATTCACGGAACTATCCTAGCTCTCTAAGCACAGAGCTCTGCCGTTTCCTACGAAGCCGCCAAGCGCACGATATTCACGTCTTTCCTGTGCGCCATGGAAGGTCTACCATCGCCAAGCACCCTATCTCTTTACTACCGTTGCGCAGCCCCCTCCGACTGCGCAGCAAGTACCATTAGCAAATGCACTTGGTTTCCTTGGGAGGCGGCACGAGCTTGTATGATGGAAACAAAACATTCCGGCCTACCCTCGTAACAAGCCTAGATGCTAAGCATGAACCCTGCTTTCACAAGAAACGCTTGGTTGCCGAGAGCCATAGCGCAGGGGCGAGATCGCTCCGTTGCCTTCTCCAGTTAATCCGGCGATCTTGGCGGGGAACGGTCGCGTGGCTCATGGCAATTCATTGACACTGGGGCTTCAGCGATGCGGAGACTTGGCGTGGAGATATCGTGACTATTGTGTACTGTAATAAGCACAGCGTCTAAGGATGCCGGGAGAGGCTGCGTTGCTTAAGATGATGACACGCAGCGAGGACGATACAGTCGGTCCGTCGCGGGAACGTCAAAGCGTAACCTTATCACTGCTTAACAATTCTTGACGCGTGGCATAAGCGTGATGCGACGACTAGGTAGCCTCGTAAACTGAAGACAAAACACAACTCACGGTCATCTGGAGAGGATGTAGATATTTCCACAAGGCGGAGCGGAATGGCCTAAACGGTTGCGGACCTAGACCCGTCGAATCACGCTGTGCAATATCCTCCACCGTTAGCTTGCCCGCAGATCGATCCTGCCGTGCAGCTCCTCAGACGTGTGCCGCCGCTACTGAGCAAAAGTGTGTATAATTAATCAGGGAAATGCCACTCGCTAGAGCAAGGCACTGCTCAGTTTGTAGAAATCTCCGCCGTCAAGCCGGAAACAGTCGCTGAAACCGATGCAGGCCGACAACCGCTCTGGGATCTGTCATCAGTCGCCTCCGCGGCATTCTTGGTATTTGTAGCGTTGAGGGTGGCCAAGAATTCACTCCACCACAGAAGCCAAGAGACGGAATCGTCTGGACACGGTACGTACTAGAGGCGAGACGGGACGCGCAGCCCAGGGCAGTCATTTGATGTATGACGGTATGACGCTGCCTACAGAGGAAGGAGAGCAAATTATGTGGAAGAATGGAATCCGGTGTCTCCGACCTTGATGCCCAATTGGCTCTGCGTGCGCGCTTTGACATAGAACCACGAGGGACGGAGAGAGCGGACCAACAACCTTGAACGTCGGCGATCAGCTGGCAGTTGGGACCACTTAGTGAAGTAGAAACAGGAATCAGAACAGAGAGTTAAGAAGACCGCGACAGGGTATCAAAAGAAGGGCGAGCTTTCCGGAGAACGGATCTCGGAATTCCGCAAAATGCACGTTTTGTCCATGTTGGCTGACTTGTGCCCAAGGTATCCATTCAGCGGTTCGGCGTTATTCACATTGTGGTCTTACAGAGCAAACGATGGTGCATTCTTTGAGGACTCGTTGTCGCATTGGTGGTATAAGTCAGAAAACACCAACTCCTCGTACTGATGTAGATCACGGCGGTACCAAACCTTGGCGATCAGTAACCCGGCCATACTACCTCGTCGCAGTCAGGATGCGCGAAAGCACCATTGCTCATCTGGTACTCGTATTCCAGATCCGGCTGAAACTCCCAGTACAAGCTTTCAGCGTCGCTCGCCATCTTGAATGTGTATGCAGCTGCATCGTCGTCAACGTATACCTTGGGGACACCATTAGCTGCTGCTGCCTCAATCTTGAGTTGAACATCGCAAGAGCGTTCCATGAGGGTGTAGAGGAAGGCGGCTTCGTCAACGGTACCTCCCACGGTCTGTGTGGTGTCAGCTTCAGCTGGATGCGGAAAGGAGGCCACACGGTACATACGAGCAAGCCATGATTTCTCAGGACCATGCCTTTGCCCTTTGCCCCCAAAGCCGAGGCCAACTTCTTGCCCTCCTCTTCGCTGAAGACGACGCCACCAAAGTCCTCATATACGGCTTGTGCATCGCCGTAGAAGTAGCATACGTCCTGATTCAGCATTTCCAATGGCTTTGCAAAGGCACTCCACGCTTTGCCTGCCTTTCCATGACAGTGGCACGCCGCATTGACGTCGGGTCTCGCCTTGTGTATCGCCGAATGTATAAGGAAGCCTGCTGCGTTTGCGGGCCTGCTTTGATTGCCTCCTACTACGTTGCCATCGTAATCGACAAGGACCATGTCCGATGCCTTGAGGAGACCAAAATGCTTTCCGAGCGGGTTGGTCCAGAAAGTATGTGGATTCTCGGGATCTCTCACGCTAATGTGACCTAAAGGGTGCGTGTACGAAGTCAGTCTATGTCTCACATGCAGTCCATACAGGGGAATGGCTTACCGCTCATGCCTTCGGTCAGGCCGTTCCGTGCGAAGACGCGGAAAGCGCCTAGGGTACGTCAGATGAACTGTTTCAAATCGCGTGCGCATTGCACTGACCGGCCATGTGTGATAGTATCCATGCGCGATGCTTGTCATACGAGGAGAAGAGTGGAATTCCGGGGAGGCAAACACCCTGGGATATGGCTTGCAGCGGCGTCAATTCCTTGGTCGCGTCTTCTTTGGATCGTGGAACGACCTGCTTGGTTTGCGCGACGGGCGCTGGTTCGGCCTGGATAGCGGAGGGTGCCATGTTGGGATGGGATGCGATAGAGCCTAGCTGTGAATGAGTAGGTCGTGTAAGTTGCAACTGATCAAAACTAGATTCGCGCACTGTTTGAATGCGCGATTGATATACTACAGACGGGAACTATCAAGGAAATAAATCTCCTTATCATTTCATAGGGCGCGTCGAGTGGAGAAAGGTGGGATGGCCATCCAGTCGAGCTCAAGACACGCTGCGGGGTGCCGCCCTAGTCGCCGGCCAAGCTTATCACCGGCTCTCTTTCCCCATCTACCTCTCATCACCTACCCAACGCCTAGTTCATCCAAACCCATCATCTTGTCTATCGCGCACGTAAACTGCATGTCAGAGATGTAGCAAGGAAATATCAGAGCATACTTCAACGGCAAATTCAACCACCACGTGCTTCTTCGTAATCATGTCTTACTCGAAGCGAGGCTACTTAGTTGCCTACACTTATCCCCACATACTGTATTACTGTTCCATATTCATTCCGCGACATTACTTTCCAACAAACTTTGTTTTGCTCCACAACTCGTTTCTAATCTGATCCTCACCATGCAAAAAGATACTCATCTTACGTTCAGGGAGATTCACGGTAGTCCTGAGGCAGTACTTACTAGCATACAAGAGATTCAAGAGATCGCTTTGTACCGCAGGCAGCCCGACCAATCTCTATCGCTTCGCTTCCTCTCGTTGGCAGCCGAGAATTTGCCGGACCATCAACAGCAACCAGGCATTGTCTACCTTCACCTTTCGCCCCTCATTCCGATTCCTGGACCATACCTGACTATCTCCTATACTTGGCAACGTTCTGGATCGACGGCTGATCAAACCCCACAATATGTCGTTCTTCGACCGGACGCCACGTCTTTCCAGGTAGCCCCAGAGTTGAATCACGTTATATACCGTACATTACGCTTCGCTGCGCATCAATGTATACATTATTTCTGGCTCGATCAATTGTGCGTTGATCAAACAGATCGCTCAGACGTCGAGAACCACCTACAATGCATGAATAGAGTGTATGCAGAAAGTCAATGTGCTCTAGCACCCTTGTGTATACCCATATCAGATCAATGGATGCTCGCAGGTTTGACATCCAATCTCGACGACCTACGTACGGCGGAACTGTCGGCGATTGAGTGTATTATAGCCACTCTTGAACACCTTGTGCAGGACACGTGGTTCTGGCGAACCTGGACCTATCACGAACGACTATGTGCTCGTTCTGTGTACTTGGCCATCTCTCTGGACAGTATTCCTTCGGAAGCCACAGACACACGCGACTGCTTTGCAATCGAGGATGATCTGATCATTAGCATAGAGCACATACAGCAGATCATACAAGTTTCGAGGAAGAACAATAAAGTCCCCGGGGGAAAAGCGCCACCTTCACCAGCTCGAGAGCAGGCCAGGCGGCTTTGGGTGCTCTTTCGGGAATTCTTTGTGGAGCGAACGATCATCACAGGCAATACGAACCCAATATTCTGGAACAGATACATCATGAAGGCCATAGACAAGCGCGACAACTTGGTTGTTTCCGATCGCCTAGCCATACATTCTAACATCAGGAATCACAACTGGCGATTGCGGACTACTCAGTTGCAGAATGCTCGGTACAGTTACAGCACTTGCTTGCTAGTGCTAGTGCTTTCGAATTATCTTCTCTTCGACGACAAGTTATCAAGGGAACACTTTCGTCTTCCAATGGACCAAACCATCATGGAGGTAATCGGAACGATGGAGGCTGCGGAGCAATTGTGTCTCATTCATAAACCCCCTAGCTTAGAAGGAGAAACCGTTATTGTATTTCCACTCTGGACCGAAGAGTTTCTAGAGAAGGTTACCAGGGAGTCAGAAGTAGATATTGACGTTTGGATGAGTGGCGAGAGAACGCGAGTGGTTCGAAAGAGACCTGAAGGTGAGGTATCACTTCTGCCCCCAACATCCAAGTTATTGAGACGCGGAGCATCTCGCCAGCCCATGGACGTCTCGGTAGCTTTACAACCGAGCGTCCTGCCCCACCAGAGCGCAGATGCAGGGTAAAGCTCTCCCGAACCACGATAGCGGGGTGTGTCTTCGTCGCGAGAGCACGCAATTATCCCGCCAGCCCAGCCAACACGGTGCTGTGCCTTGCTGTATACGTCCGACATCCCACGTCCTGAAGCAATTTCTGCAAGACATACATAATGGCTCCCGGCCGACACGATGGCCGAGAGCACTCAAGATGCGATACTTAAGAAGGGCGATTCTGCCTCTGGTAGCCAGATCACCCATTCCACGTTATTCACTCCCCACTTTCAAACCTTACGTATCATTCAGAATGTCTTCAGGAAAGACCGTCACCCTTAACTCTGGTCACAAGATCCCGTATGTTATTACAGACTCTACCCTGGCAATTGCTTGCTGATGTTGCCATAGGCAGCTGGGATACGGTACCTGGCAAGCCGCTCCTGGCGAGGTTGGCAATGGTGTCTACGAGGCGTTGAAGATCGGATACCGTCATCTGGTAAGCGACAGACCCTGGAGACCCTGCAACCGTTGACTCCACTCCATAGCCACGCAGCCATTGATTGTTCTTGGATATAATCGCTAACTTGATGAACGTAGGACCTCGCAAAGATGTAAGTGAATAACCTTGCCATAAGAACCATCTCCTCTTCACTCCCCGTCACTCCCTTTCCAAATCCGCCCAGAAACAAGATATTCTTCCGTGTTGGTTCTTGGAAGCTCAAGTGGGATGCCCCTCAGTGGAGACGGAAGTTTGGGAAGCTATGACCATCCTCGACTATCATTTGCCGAGAGCGTTAGCTGACGAGATATTCCGCCAATCATAGTTACGAGAACCAAAAGGAAGTTGCGCAGGGCATCAAGCGTGCTTACAAGGATGTTCCGGGTCTAAAGCGCGAGGACATCTTCATCACTGGAAAGCTGTGGAACACTCAGCACGATCCCGAGAAGGTAGAGGAGGCTCTCGATGACACTCTCGCCGAGCTTGAGCTCGAGTACCTCGACCTGTACCTCATCCACTGGCCGGTTAACTTCGGACCAGGAAAGAGCCCTCACTCTGAACTCTTCCCCATGACCTCCGACCCCAACGAGGTCAACATCGACAACTCCGTTCCCAACAGTGAGACATGGAAGGCCATGAACAAGCTGCCAAAGAGCAAAGTCCGCTCCGTCGGTGTCTCCAACTTTACATACCAGACCTTGAAGGCTCTTGTTGAGAAGACCGGCCTTGTCCCTGCTGTCAACCAAATCGAGCGTCACCCTATCCTCCCTAGCAAGGAGCTCGTCGCCTACGCCAAGGAGAAGAACATACACATCACTGCCTACTCCGCTTTCGGCAACAACTTCTTTGACATCCCGCTGCTCATCCACCGCCCCGAGATTAAGGCTATTGCGGAGAAGAAGAGCGCAACGCCAGCGCAAGTCATTCTTGCATGGTCTCAAGTGGGTGGCCACTCCGTCATTCCCAAGTCAGTCACTGCGTCTCGCATTGCCGAGAACTTCAAGGAGATCGAGCTCGACGATGAAGACATCAAGGCTATCACCAAGTTCTCAGATGAGCACCAGGGCAGGAGAAGGTACAACGTACCGTACACAGCCAACAAGCCCAGGTGGAGCATCAACATCTTCGACGAGCCGGAGGAGCAGGAGGCACCTAACAAGGTCGTCTTGTAGATAATGAGAGCCTGCATGTAGTCACAATATCATGAAAGTTATTCGAAGCTTGTTGTACAACGATGTATTCAGCACGGCGTGAGGTTCTGAAAGCCTTTGTTCGCTCTAAATAACGCGTGTACATTCTTCATTGCTATCAGATGCGTCCGTACTACAGATTAGTCTGGCAAACGGACTAAGACAATCAATCAAGGCAGTAAGAAACCGTTTCTTTCTTCTTTGTCTTCACTTTGATTCTTGTACATTGCTGAGCTTTAGCGTGCCTTTACGCGCAAAAGAGTTGGGCGCCTTTGCTAGATCTACATGCCATCATTGATCTGCACTCCACCGGGTAGACTTTCAAGCCCTGTCCAATAAATTAGCACGATACCTCTCATGCAGAAGAGAATGCTTACACTCATAGCCATCAACATCCTCTACCACCGTCTGTGGAATACTACACTTCATTGCATCTTCGTCGCTCTGCCTCTCCAGCTCACTACAATGATCGTTACTGCACCTTGCATTGAGCGCTCTCTGCAGTGCATCGCCCTTCCAGCCGAACATATAATCACCATGGTTGCCGTGGCCAGTTCTATCTTCCAGAGTTAGCAGCAATACGGGCTTCCAAGCATTTCGGCGGAACGGGGGAGATTTACGCATCACCCATACTGAACACAAAAGGCTGTGTTCCCTCGTTGCCCCATAGCTCTTTCTGGTTGAATGGCGTTGTATCGAACATGACCTCATACATGACCTGTGGCAGCATAATCGGAAATCCCTCTGGGCATTTTCCCCTCTGCTGCTCGGGCGTATATGGATGCGTTGCCAAGGGTGCAACATACGGTTCGTAGGGGATCTCCGCGTATGCAACATGGCTCTGGTGGTCGGGGCTATCAAGATTTACGCCGTCCCAGCATGTAGGAAACGTGACTTGTGTGCGGATACCGCCTTCGCACATTCGGGTGGGAAGAAAGGTCGTATCTTCTTCTGTGCACGGGGCACCGCCAAAGGGTTGCGCATTTTTATAGATGCAACGATGGCAGATACCTCGGGATTCACCGGTGGTGTTGCGAAGGAGCGGGTTGCCGGCGAGCATGCGAAAACCCTGTTCTCATGTCAGCAACACAGCTTAGGTCCGTGAAGATCTATCGTTATCTCTTGTTGATAGGAAGGGTAGAAGGATAGACTAACAGGCTTGAAGGCAGTCACATTACTGACGCCATCATAGGGGGGTATATAGTATACTGTCATACCACCTCTCTGGTTTAGTCCACCGTTCGGGAACTGCTGAACACGTTTGTATGTGCCGTTCTGTGCGCGAAAATATAATGCCGCGGTCCAATAGTTGCTGCGTTCTGTCAGCCATTATCCGTCCTGGATGCATGCTCTGTGCCAGTCTTCAACGCTTTGCTCACATACCTGAAATCTTCGCTGAATGTGCACGTAGTACAAGTGCTTTTTTCTACCATGTCATATTCTCCAGGCTTCATTTCGGGCTGGAAGCTGTTTCCTCCAACAATCTGGTGCGTATGCGGGCTTCCGACAACTCCAGGGTTGACCAAAGGATCCAAACGTTCGACCGTAAGTTGCGAACATGCGAAGCGCATCATCGCTGCGCCGCGACTGACATTCTGAGCGCATGTCGCGCTTGCTAGCATAAGAGTTATTAGAGAAAAGTACATCATGGTGTTTCGACAACGCCGTAGGTATCTTCCTGGGACAAGCGGAGAGGAGCAGGGCCATTGATGCGAGATGTTTATTCAAGGAAGGATGAATATGTGCAGCGATGTGGGGCGTACAAGTGCCGTATTCCAAGCATTTCTCTTTAGACCATCGTCTCGACAGAATCCGCTGGAGTGGTTGTTGGAGTATCTGGTGAGTGGCGTAAAGTGCATCCATAGATTGAGCGACAAGGATCGGCCCAATCATGCAGTGGACGCATGATAGCACCGTAAGCCCTCAGGCAATGTCTGATATCGAGACCTTCAATGATTCAATCAATGATGTATTTCAAACTAGTGTATAGTAGTATTGCCATGTATCCCTCTTGGATGCAAAACATTCATGTTCGAGTCGATCAGATAAGTAACAAGTTTTCCTACAGCAAATTACAGCGCGGCTCTTATCGAAGAATGTCTGTGATGCTAACTTTGTCCTTCCGGTCAACGAATGGATCCGTCCCAGTTGGCGCGTCACCCTCGGAAGGGACCATTACTTTCTTCTTGACAACGACATGTGATTCAGCAAATTCCTCGAGGATCGGCTTCAAGTCTTTGTGCAGGGGTATGCCATGACCTTCAAGTCCAAGCGAACTCTCGGGGAAGTAAACGCCTGTCAGCTCAAAGACCGCTTTGTTTGCCGCCTTGAACCGTTTCCGCCCTCCCTCTGAACTGATGTTCCGAGTTGTTCCGTCCTTAGAAGGAGGGAGAAAGACCTTTTGAGCAACCTTTTCCCATGCTAGGGGCTCCTTGTCCCATGGACGACGCAACTCGTAAGCTTCTTGGCAGTGCAGAGGGTCGTCATGTAGAATGGTTACTCTTGACCAATCAATTGGACATGCCTGTTGATCATCGTACGGTGGCGTAGGCGCTGCAAAATCGCAATGCCATGGCTTCAAGGCAGGATGGGGTTCTGGATCGAAGACTAAGAGAGTTAGTCATAATTGTCCACAGAAAGGACACAAACATCTCTTACTGGTCAATCTAGCACGTAGTCGCTCCTGGACTTTCACATCGTAGTCTTCATCTTCTGCCTCTTCAACAACCCTCTTTTTCGCCTTGGTCCTTTTAGTTCGCACTCCCTTCGGCAATGCTATCAGATCTCGCACAGGCGTATCCTCCGTTACTATGTCCCCTTCTTCCGCAACTGAAGTGTTCGTGGGCCCGTCTGTGAAAGTCAGTGCACCTGATCCACGTCCTAGACCTACATCACTCTTGGCCTGCGCGACTTTCTGGCGTTTCGTGGTTTTCCTCCGAGTACGCATTCGGTCCGCGTGAGGATTATGGCTTGCGCTTGTTCGACTTGAAGGCAGCCTGCTGTGCTTCGTAGCTCTATGGTCATCTTCGAGGGTCAGCTCCGACACTTGAGCTTTGCGTTTCTTGTTAAAGGACTCGGCCATGTCTGAATCAAGGCTCAACAGACGGTAACTCTGGTACGTAGTGGGATGAGGCTGGCTGGTATGTTCGATGTCAAGGATCACGGATACAGATTGTGTGGAAGCGTGAGTGTGGTACTTTCAAGACAAAGTGGAAGAAAATGGTGTAATGGTTATAGGCAGCATTTGGGTGGCAGTGGTCAGGCACCAGTGGAAAATGCACACAAGCCGCACTGACCTCGTGATCGATGCTGCGAGGGCGAGTCTTGACGCCAGTAGTTCCAGTGAAAGTCCATACCAGTAGCAAATGGTGAGATGCGCAGGCGATACCAATATCGAGGAAAGTGTAAGAAATGAAGATGAGGCAACAGAGATTATGGCGCGAGATAGCTAAAGAGCGCGGTATTATCGAGCTTTCGAGAAATGGATATGGGATATCCTGCATCAGACGTTATTAGCGACGCATTGGCAAGCGTTGCTCCAGAAAGACATCAGCAAGGTCAAAATTCTTACGAAAAAGAGAATGATAGCATACCGAGTTTTCTGTCACTACAAGACTTCTCTAAGATATGTACCGTCGTGAACAGACATCGCGAGCTTGATACTCAACATCTTTTGAGGTTTGTCCGTCTGATCCGGCGAGTCCCAGGGCCTACGTCCTCGCGATCAGCTTTCAGACAAATAGAGTGGAACCAAAAAGCACCAATCTTGTGTGAGGAACAAGATGTTCGAGGAAAATTTGCTTCCAAGGCCGAAACACTGAAGGTGATCATGCTCGCGTTTGCTGTCATTGTGTCTTCTTCATCCCGGTCTGGAAGGTCGCCTCGGAGAACAATCCGTAATTGCGAGACATCACCAACTGTTGTGTAAGCACGGCTCGTGATGAAGCATGTGACAGGTTGCTATAATAACGATGCCATGGTTTGAGGGTCGGAAAGAGGCGAAGGATAAAGTCGGGTGGTTGGCAAGTTGGAAGCCCAGGGGAATGGTCAGTGCGTGCTACTGACAGACGTCATAATCGCGACTAGCGGCATTCATTGCTATACAGGTCGCATATCGAGACAGCACGCAAGGAAGAATATGCTGGATGTGTAGTGACGTACAGATAGCTGTGTCTACTTAGACGTGGTTATCAAACTCCTTATTTACATCAAACATGATAATTCATGCGCTACTGCAGCATACCCTCTAAGCTTTCTCCCAAAATCTCCTCCATGCCATTCTTCCACCTCTGGCACTCTCTCTCTACAATCTCATCGTCATCTTCCATGAGCTCACTAATGAACGGTAGCATCTCAGGTAGCAAGCCCAACCATTCTTCACCCAGCCTCCTCGTCAAGCTTTGCTCACACAGAACTGTTGCGAGTCTTGTGTTTCTGTCCTCACTTCTCATGTTCTTCAACAATATGCTGTTCATCTCGCGGTGATTCTCCATAGATGATGCAGATGCAACGGCGAGTTCGGTGATGGTAGGAATAACGTTGTTGGTGTTGTTCTCTGGAGTAGAAGTAGAGGCGGACGGGAGGTTGAGCAGAGACAACAAAGGTGGCATTATCGTTCCGAAGTGAGATGGCGCCTGCCAGAAACCGTCTTGATCATGCTGGAATGTCTTCTGAAGGGCTGCGAGGACAGCGCTGCGGGTGGCAACCTCTGAGTCATCCTTAGCAAGTCCAGTAAGCATCTTCGCGGCATGCTCGATAATGTAGCTTGAATAGCTTGTTACAAGAGACTGGACATATGTTAGCGATAGTTCATCATCATAATATAGATCGTTACATACCTTGAATTTGTCGAAGAAAGCGGCAAGGAACTTGTAGAAGGTGATAGCCCGTTCAGGCTTGGTAGAAACGGGGCCCTCCTGGTCCACGAGCTGTACGAAGAAAGGACGGAAGGTAGCATCACTGAGCTTCAATACCATAGCAATGACCGAATCCGTAAGAGTGCCCTCCAGCTGTTCAATCTCTTCATCGTCAACCTCCACGGTGGCAGATTGAACAGTCTCACGTAGGCGGAAAGTCTGCAGAAGCAGGCTGAAGAGTGGCGGGCTCGCTTTAACAAGCTTAGCTTTGGTTTGGGTGTTGACAGTCGCACGCAGAAGCTCAAGCTGCTCGAGCGAGGCATCAAATCCTTGAGATGCGGCATTTGGCCATGTCGACTTCAGAGCAGCGAAGACTTCCTGGGCACCCAGGTGCTCAGATACGCTCTGGAAGAAACTGCTGCGGCTTTCGTCGCAAGCCTGTTCCAAATCGGCAGCAGCGGAGCGGTGGCACAGCCGAAGAGCTGTCTCCAGATAGTCGCGCGAGAACATGTACCCCAATCGTTCTACGATATTTGAGAGGATGGTGAACACAGCATTGTGTAGACCAGTCTTCTCTTCTTCGATCGCATGCGACAAGTATTCGAACGCTGTTGGCAAGACGGTAGGAAGTAGCGAGATGGCTTCATCCTCGAGAACGTCAACAACAGACGTGAGGCAGAGGAGAGATAGGATGCGGAGGCGGTCATCGCTGCTGGATAGCGATTGTGGTCCGGAGACGATTTGGGCAACTGATGCAACAGCAGATACGTCCTTCTTTCCGAATCGCTCGATGATACGGTCAATGCAGCTAACAGCTACCATCTTGGCATCTATCTCGGGTGATTGCTCTAGAAGATCCTGGACACTAGGTAAGAAAGCGATCAGGGCCTCTACAGACTTGCGGTCATGCTGCTTAGCGGTGCCAGCGCGTAGCTCAACTGACTTGACGGCGGCAACTTGCACATGAGAATCCGCGCTTGAGAGGAGTAGCTGTGCCGATTTGACGAGATCAGTTGTTGGCAGGAGATCCAAGCAGCTGGCAAGGACACGGCTGCAACCTGCGTATGTCTTGGGGTTCGTCGCCAGCTTCTTCGACAACTGGATAGTAGTTTCGACAATGTTTGCGAAGATCCTTCGTGGCCGTTCAGGGTCATCCTTCTTTCTGTACGCCCGGGTGACATGCGCCTTCACCTTGTCATCGAGTGCAAGATCTGTCAAGCAAGACAGCATGCTCTGGATTGATAGATCGAACTTGTTGTCTTTTGTCTTCTCCTTAAGGCTGAACAGCGTCTCTGAGACCTGAGGTTTTGGCCCCACTGCATCAGTGAGTAGGTCGAGGTAACCCTTGAAAGTAACAAGGGTGTGTACAGGTTCGAAATGAAGTAGCAAGTCGGCACAGAACCTTCGCTGCTCTTTGCTGTGGTAGCGATCGGCAAGTAGCGCCACAACAGCCGGAAGCGAGTCTTCAGGGCCTAGTGTGCGAGCAAGCTCTGTGAACAGCTTCATCCTCCTGTGCAGGGGAATGTGTTCAAAGGCAGCAGTGAAACTGAGCAACAGATCGGACACTCCAGCGATAAAGTCCCTGTGTTTTGAGCGGAGAGAAGCTGCCAGTTGGGGTACAACACGGGAAATGGTCTTATCGACGACCTGGGCGGAATAGTCGTCATGTTGGCGAAGTAGAGTAGATCCGATGAAGGTGAAGATGGGCATGAGGTTATGAAGGATGAGATCAGGTACCCATGATGCGAGGTTGGAAATAAGCAGTAGAGCACTGTTCTGAACTTGAGGACTGCCGGAGTGTCGAATGCAGTCAATGAGTAGATCCGCACGTACTGCTGATTGGTAGTCTGTGGTGTCCGTCTGTTCCTTCAATGTGTTTACGATAGGGCTGAGTGAGCCCAGAATGATGCTCTGCAGGTACACTAGCTCGGATCCAGATTGTTGCTTGAGTGGCTGTAGCTCCGCGAAGATACCAAAGAGGTGCTTGAACAGCGTTGGGTGTTGTCCTGGGTTGGATCCCTCAACTAACTCAAGAACCAATGTGAGTTTTCGGAGAAGTCGCTGAACGTCATCTTGAGACGAAAGCTCGACGCGGGCCATCTCACTTCGGCTTGTTCGTCTTCTCTTCGCAGCAGGCGCTCCTCCAGGCATAGCTGTAGGGGATGGAATGCTTTCCAAGAAGGAAACGAGAATAGCGGAATCAAGGTCGACGCTGCGCAGTATCTCAATGGACTGCTCTCTGCAGAGCTTGTCGAAAGAGGTGTCGCTTTCACTAGTAGAGAGACCGAGCATGCACTGGGCCAATGCGTGTCGAGCTTCAGATCTGAAGGACGACCACGAGGTATGGATGCGCTGGAAAGCAGCAACAGCCAGAGTTTCGCGGTCCTTGTTGAGGGTTCCAGAGATTATGTCTTGGAGCAGCTGAGCGCTCTTCGCCTCTCTGGGCATTGTGGAAGTAATGTGAGCCCGCTCCACCTCATCAAGCGAAAGGCCTTCGCTGTTGCAGCTAGCGGTCACGGTTGCAGTTGGAAGACTAGACCATGCGGTGAGCAAGGGAATCATGGTGTTACTGCGAACCGTGTCGGAAACTTTGCCGCGTATGTTCGCGACTGGTAGAAGGCTAAGTCGCACCCTCAACACTGGCGTAAGACTGGCATGGCTTGCGAGGAATCCCAGGACTAACGTCCTGGTTTGCATCTTAATCGTGTTTTTTGCGTGATTCTTCAACTGTGTGCCTTCCAGAACATCGCGAAGCGCAGGTATGACGAACTTTGAGTCCATGACGCATTCTTCCAAGATCGGTTGCAGCATCGACGAGATGAAAACTAGGACATCCTCAGGCTTGAGCTCTGCAAGAGTCTTTGATTCCTTCCCATAGAGGTCTGCTTTTCCCCAGGTTTGCGCCTTCGATTTGGCGGAGGCCTTTCGTGCCAGAGATCCGACACATGCGGCTGCTGAACGTCGGATAAGTGGGGATGAATCAGTGAGAGCGTGAATAAGGTACGGCAAGATGTTCTGCAGAACATGTGCAGCTTCAATCTTTTCAAATGATGATGCGGCTGCACGAAGTGCGGCAACACGGACAGCGACTGGTCGAATGCTACTCCACACGCGAGCAAGGAACGAAAGGTAGATTGGTTGCTTGAACGAGGAATCTTGCTGCAACGTGTCTGAAACGAGGAAGTGCCGGGTCTGTTTTGTGGCCACAGCCTGCTCGAAAACGTCA